TAGCCATTCTCAAACCAAAATGTAGGCTGAGAGAAATTTGAATTCGACAGCTGAACAAGACATGTTTAACTGGATCAGCTGGGTACTGAACAGTTTACATGCCAGCATCCTCAGTGAGTTCCATGTCTTCAATGTAGTCATCAGTACCCGTAAATTCATCAGCTCGTCACCGGGACGGTTCTAGTACGTTCTTCATTAGGACCAGGCGAGCAAACGGTAATCGCTCCGCCATTTTGGAGTGGGCAAGCGCTTCGAGCTGTTACAAGCCGGGGATAGGCGATTAATTTGCTCACTCTAAGCGATTCACGGCTTGTCACGCACCCAATGTGATTTACTGAGTATAAATGATATCTTACCCTAGTGTCACATGATGTCCAGGCTTTATATTTTAGTCGAAATGATTGTATAAGGAACTACGGTTATATCGAGCTTAAATTAATGGTCCTTTTGATTTCGTTATATCCGTATATATGTATATGCCGTAGTTCTCTTGCAAATATCTACGAAAGACATGTACCTAATTTTGATCGATATGTAAGCACCACCCATACCAGCTAAATAATAATAAAATAACATACCAATAATTTGTTATTTGTTGAACGAAATAATCATGCAGTAATACCCGAGCTATACCATGACAGTGGGAACAATCCTGGTAAATCTCTCAAAACTCACCATGAATGATTGTCACAGAAAGCATGGAAATGAAGTAATCTTGCAGTAACGTAAATAGAGATTATTACACGAGCAACTGTGTCATACGACTTATACGAAACGAGTGTGAAATTTTGTGCGAGTTTCGTATAAGTCGTATGCCACTCTTGCGAGTGTAATAATTTCTTTATTATCCATTTTATTCATGAACATCTGTGCAGTAAAATACGGTAAGCAGGTGTGACTGCCCTATTCATTGACATCACGTTCAATTGTTTAAGTGACGTCACAGACGACGAAATAGAGAAACAATGGTTGCCCGAATCTTTCAGCCGGCTCGAACACCAATCACTGATGGCAGGAGACCTGTACTGATCACGCAGATCTTCCAGTTAGTACTAGATGGGACATTGTCGCCCTTACATAAACCAGAAAAAAGTGTCAAATTTAACCCAAGTGCGACAACGCGACATTTTGGCCATTTGTCGCATTTTCTCTATGGCGCATTGTCACGGTTTGAATAATATTTTTATATTCTACCAAATGCGACATAGCGACATGGCGACAGTTTTTCCAGGTCAAAATATGTCGCATTGTCGCACTGTTATCCCATCTAAGATGCGTTTAAAAAACGCCAAAATGCGCGATAACGCAACAATGCGACAATGTCCCTTCTAGGATTCCATACTATATTCTGAGATCAGTTACTTATTGTCGACTGAATGTGTCTTGAAAAAGAGTAGTATCAGGAATGTGCGGGTTTTAAGTACATGTAAAGCTATACTCACTCTGAAGAACAGATGAAATGTCCGTAGTAGTCGTCCACGCATCTGCAGTTGTAGTCACAGTCGATGTTCCACGTCTCACCTTTACTGAACATCTCACCCCGGTACAGGCAGTGACCTGGAGGAGTCCAATGTGAGAGGTTAGAATATATTTGAAGCAAATGTTGATGTCGAGTCACATCTTGGATTCGATTACGTCTCCTATTTGAAACACTTTGATGACATCTTAATCATGTATTTGTGCATTGCTATTTCATAAGATCCGGGTTAGAATTTGTCTTCAGTAACCCATGCTTGTCGTAAGAGGCGACAAACGGGATCGGGTGGTCAGGCTCGCTGACTTGGTTGACACATGTCATCGGTTCCCAATTGCGTAAATCGATGATTATGCTGTTGATCACTGGACTGTCTGGTCCAGACACGATTATTTACAGACCGCCGCCATATAACTGGAATATTGCTGAGCGAAACAACAACCAACCATAACCTTTTGGCATCACCAACCTTTCGGTCCGGGGCTAGATCCCACGCTCATTGCAGCAGACTGACCCACACATAGAAGTGTAACGGTTAACACCAACCATACCATCGCCATCTTGACTCGTCTTGAATCAGTGTATTACAGCTTTATTTTAGACCGCCTGGTTTGCGTTCCTGCGGAGGAATTTAGGCGCGTAGTGTCAAAGTGAATTGCCGAAAACAAGCGTTCGAGATCCATGAATGAAGTGTTTTGCATCACTGAGACCTTTTCGTACGTGAGCACGTATGTAGAGATCTAAGACGCCGGTGTTCGTCGTTTGGTCATGACAACCAGGCGCGTAGCAAGCCATTTTTCGTGTAAGCCCAATAGGTTACAAAGCTTCATATTTATGTCGTATTCGGGGCTTGCCCAGCCTTTTTAGCAACAATCATGTGTAAACCCGGGCTTTTTTTCATTATGGTAGCTACATCCCTGACAACAGTGAGTTCGAATCCCGGACAATCTAGTAGCAAAACCAATTGAGTGTTCGAAGGTTTCACCTAATGGCTAACCCAGTGACATTGTCAACATCACACCAGTGAAGATCCGGGTTACAAGTGGTCATCAGCAAGCCATGCTTGTCGTAAGAGGCGACAAAGCGTTTGATGCGTGATGTAAATATGAGCATCGATCTGCACAGTGTGAGTGAGTGAGTTGGGTTTTACGTCAACTAGCAACATTCCAGCAATATCACAAAGGGGACACCAGAAATGGGTTTCACATATTGTACCCTTGTGGGGAATCGAACCCGGGTCTTCGGCGTGACGAGCGAACGCTTTAACCACTAGGCTACACCACCGCCCCTCAGCGCAGTGTGCTTTGAGTTAAGTGCTAAATGTCATAGAGAATAATAAAACAGGCTGATCTTTCAGTTTTATTCCTTGACCACTTATACAATTATCTGACTGAATAATGCACCCAAACCGTATCAATTTCGGCATTGGTGACGCTTCTATTCACATTTTAAACAGTTTCGCGGTTATAGGCCTCTAAACGCAACAGACATGTTTATCACAACGCATACATGTATATCAAACTCTCCTCTGTTCTCCTTAGAGCGATGCGGATCCCCGTGTTTGTCTGGGAGTGTACAGATTGTTAAATGGTGAAGCAATCTCAAAGTGACATACAAAAAAAACAAGGATCTTTTCGTATCCCAGCAAACCAACATTACCCTTTGAGTTTTCCTGCGCAGACAGCCCCATCGTAAACTACGCAAATCAAATCCCCTATAGACATATTTCCTGAAATCTAATTCCATATTTGCAGATTGTTTACGCTCATATATATCATATCATATCAATCACACACGACGCGGTCGGGTAACTAGCTTCCCAGTTGGAGATTGTTAACAGATGCAGATGGACCCAGCTGGAATGTTGTTTTGAACGGACAATCAGATTAGAGTAACGTTTAGTCTTTGGAAATATATAATTTTGATGGTAACAAATAACATCTAAATTGAAAAGGAGACCGACTGAGTGATTCTGAACCTGGGGATCATCTAGACTTGCTTCATTAAGGACGTTTGCATTACATACATCGCTGGATGGAAAGGAAAATATTATGGTTCAATGACCGTGAGACAGACTAGTGTCAGAGGTCAAGGCCAGAGCCTGATGGCCATGAACGGTCATCGTCCTGCAGATGACTGAGTGAGAGAATTATATTTTAACACCGCTTTGATCAGTATTCCAGCTACACCACAGCGTTTCATCTTAGTGTGGGCATAAATCTTGAAGTTAGGGATGAAACGATATACCGCGGTATTTTGCCTTCGGTTCGGTACACCGTAATGCAATCCAAAAATTCGGTAATTCCGGTTTTCGTACCGTTGTACTATCTAGTAATAAAACGACATTTTTGTTCATTCAAAATAACAAAGATTATGGTTATATTTTTCCCATGCTATTAACAATGTGAGGTTTGGCTCTTGTCAATTTTCTGCATTATGATCATATCTCATATACCGAAACGGACCGAACCGAAGGCCTTGTACCGCAATACGTACTGTACCGTCGTAAGAGCGTACCGTAGGTTGAAGTGAGTGAGTGAGTTGGGTTTTACGCCGCTTTTAGCAATATTCCAGCAATATCACGGTGGGCGACACCAGAAATGGGCTTCACACATTGTACCCATGTGAGGAATCGAACCCTGGTCTTCCGCGTGACGAGCAAACACTGTAACCGCTAGGCTACCCCACGGCCCCAATCAGCTGGAATATTGCCGAGGGTGGTATTAAACAAAAAGAAAACAAATCATGCATTTACTCGACAGTGAAGGCATGAGAAACGAATCTGTGTCTTCTACTACTTCACTATGGATCAGACTGACTGACTGAGTTTGGTTTTACGCCGCTTTTAGCAATATTCCAGCAACATCACGGCGGGGGACACCATAAATTGGCTTAACACATTGTACCAATGTGGGGATTCGAACCCGGGTCTTCGGCGTGACGAGCCAACGCTTTAACTACTAGGCAATCCCACCGCCCCTATGGATCAGAGGTGGTAGTTGGGGTCAACAGACCAGGTCAATGTGGTTCTTGAAGGACGACATTTCTGGAGGTAACAGTTTGGACAGTGTTCAGCTGGCGTGGTGTGACGACACGCGAAGAATAATGCTCCCTCGTCGATCTCATTCAGACCAGACCCGTGAAGACCCGGGTTAGAATTGATCTTCAGTAATACATGTCGTTGTGTAAGGCTACTAACGGGACCGGGTGGTCGGCACGCTAACTTGATTTACACATGATTATTTCATATAAACTACGCGTTCATTTGGGAAATTACTTCAAATGAGACAATTCACCCCCAGTACCAATGGCCTTGGTGAGTTCATATAAACTACGCGTTCGTTTGGGAAATGACCTCAAACGAGACAATTCAAGGAGAAAAAACCCTATTGCAATAGTATTGCAATAGTAGGTCGCAATAGTATGTTAAAGTTTGACCTCCACAATAGTCATTTTTCGTCCGTTGGTTGAACTCAAACTGACACATATAATTGAACTGATTCTGATGAATCACTGGATAGGGTAGCTGCTGTTGTTGACGCTAATTACACGACAGTTCAAGGTGGTCACAGCTTTACAATGAAGAGGGAAGTTATAATTAAAGAGATTCCGATGCAATTTACATTCCAAAATTTAATTCAAAGATTTGATTAAGAGGTAATTGTGTTTACGACTCACACCGTATATATATGAAGTTGGCCGTTTCGGAACAAATCGACAGCCCGGCGGATCTGCAACAGGAGCGTAAGTTCGTGAGTCACAGTTATAACATATTGTTGGTCACTGTTTAACAACACGCCCAGTCATATGCTTCTATGCAACCCGTAAATATTCAACTCGACTTCAGACGATCGAGTGATTGGCAGCATGAACCAGAATATGAACATTCGACGACACGCAGTTGAAAGTTTTTGAGTGAGTTTAGTTTTACGCCGCCTTTGGCAATATTACAGCACTATCACGGAGGGGACACCTGAAATGGGTTTCACACATTCCCATGTGGGGAATCGAACCCGGGTTTTCGGCGTGACGAGCGAACGCTTAACCACTAGGCTATCTCACCACCCCTGAGCTATATTGGTAAAACAATTATTATTTAATGAACTTTCCGAATAAACATTTAGTTGAAGTTACTGTTTATAAGGTTTATGACGTTTGCAGTTTTGAAATGTATTCATGTTTAAATATTTATTGTATGATTTGTTTTGTTTGTTGTTTCACGCCACACTCACCAATATTCCAGCTACATGGCGGCGGTCTGTAAATAATCGAGTCTAACCAGACAATCCAGTGATCGACATAATGACTGAATACGGTGACATGTGTCATCCAAGTCAGCGAGCTTGACCACCCAATCTCGTTAGTCGCCTTAGTTCCGTTAGTTGTTGAAGACTAATAATAGGGAAAGCCACAGGCCCATATAGATTACATGAAGTACATGTTTTAATCTGTTTCTTGATGTTCCCATATTTCGCATCTATAAAGAACGATGGGTTTAATTTTTGAATCAAACATGTTGACTGGGACTTTTCCGTATGTCCAAACTAATTTGAAAACTTTCATTAATGACGGCCTTTTTCTGTTTAAAGGCAAATGTGACATTGCCCCTGTGAGTGAGTGAGCGAGTGAGTTTAGTTTTACGCCGCACACAGCAATCAGCTATATGGCGGTGGTCTGTAAATAATCGAGTCTGGACCAGACAATCCAGTGATCAAAAGCATGATCATCGATCTGCGCAATTGGGAACCGATGACATATGTCAACCAAGCCAACGAGCCTGACCACACGATCCCGTTAGTCGCCTCTTAGGACAAGCATGGGTTACTGAAGGTTCATTCTAACCCAGACATTCAGAGGTTCATCATTGCTCTTGTACAGTTAACGATATAGTCATCAATAGTCCAAGGTACTTATATTCTTTAACAACTTTCAATACGATAATGCCATTTTCCCTTTGTTTAAAATGTCCACATTTGCGAAAAAAACAATTATTTTTGTTTTTGAAAAGTTGACATTTAACTTCCATGTTGAACAGTGGTCATTTGGCTCTTGTGGCCGACGTACTCGATCAGAAACACAAATAACACCAGCGAACATCAGTAGCAACAGTTCATGTAAATCAGGGAATGATTGTACTCCTCTTGTATCATCTTGTATCGACATGTATCTAGAATTTCGACAGCTTACTCATTGATAAAAAGAGTAAATAAAATGGGGCTTAATACACAGCCCTGTTTTAGTCCAATAGGACAATCAAAACATTCAATTAAACCAGCGTTACACCGTACGCATGCTGTTACAGACGAATGCATAGACTGAATCATATCCAACATTTTAACAGGTAGATCACATTTTTGTGGAAAATACATGTTTATTTCTATCTATAAAATCAAATGCTTTTCTGAAGTCTACAAAGGCAACATACTTTTGCATACAAGCAGTTAGTGACCCGTGAAGATCCGGGCTAGAATTGACCCATGCTTGTCGTAAGAGGCGACTAACAGGATCAGGGTGGTCAGCCTCGCTGACTTGGTTGACACATGTCATCAATTGCTCATGCGGTTGATCACTGGATTGTCTGGCCCAGACTGGATTATTTGCATACCGCCGCCATTTGGCTGGAATAATGCTGAGTGCGGCGTAAAACTAATCTCACTCTCGCAGTAAGTGTGAACACGTTGTCCCTTGTTGAGTATCCAGACCGAACAAGACGGCTTGAAAATGTTTGGGACATGTAATCAAAAGTTATATTATATCTTAACCAGCCCTGATGAGTGTTTTATTGCTGCCGACCCATGCCATTTTATCCTTTTAAGCGTAAGTCTTAAGCCTATGCATAAACGTATGTATGTAATACCTAATTCAGCATTATATTTTGATATTTATATTTATTTATTTTAACATTTATCGTTTATACAATCATATTTCATCTTTGTGTACATTTTACAGAACCAAGTCTCTCATAACTCCCTTATAGGAGTGGCTCAACGTTTATTGCTTTACAGAACTAAGTCTCTCATAACTCCCTTATAGGAGTAGCTCAACGTTTATTGCTTTACAGAACTTAGTCTCTCATAACTCCCTTATAGGAGTGACTCAACGTTTATTGCTTTACAGAACTAAGTCTCTCATAACTCCCTTATAGGAGTGGCTCAACGTTTATTGCTTTACAGAACTTAGTCTCTCATAACTCCCTTATAGGAGTGGCTCAACGTTTATTGCTTTACAGAACTTAGTCTCTCATAACTCCCTTATAGGAGTAGCTCAACGTTTATTGCTTTACAGAACTAAGTCTCTCATAACTCCCTTATAGGAGTGACTCAACGTTTATTGCTTTACAGAACTTAGTCTCTCATAACTCCCTTATAGGAGTGGCTCAACGTTTATTGCTTTACAGAACTTAGTCTCTCATAACTCCCTTATAGGAGTGGCTCAACGTTTATTGCTTTACAGAACTAAGTCTCTCATAACTCCCTTATAGGAGTAGCTCAACGTTTATTGCTTTACAGAACTTAGTCTCTCATAACTCCCTTATAGGAGTGGCTCAACGTTTATTGCTTTACAGAACTAAGTCTCTCATAACTCCCTTATAGGAGTAGCTCAACGTTTATTGCTTTACAGAACTTAGTCTCTCATAACTCCCTTATAGGAGTGGCTCAACGTTTATTGCTTTACAGAACTAAGTCTCTCATAACTCCCTTATAGGAGTAGCTCAACGTTTATTGCTTTACAGAACTTAGTCTCTCATAACTCCCTTTATAGGAGTGGCTCAACGTTTATTGCTTTACAGAACTAAGTCTCTCATAACTCCCTTATAGGAGTGGCTCAACGTTTATTGCTTTACAGAACTAAGTCTCTCATAACTCCCTTATAGGAGTGACTCAACGTTTATTGCTTTACAGAACTTAGTCTCTCATAACTCCCTTATAGGAGTAGCTCAACGTTTATTGCTTTACAGAACTTAGTCTCTCATAACTCCCTTATAGGAGTAGCTCAACGTTTATTGCTTTACAGAACTAAGTCTCTCATAACTCCCTTATAGGAGTGACTCAACGTTTATTGCTTTACGGAACTAAGTCTCTCATAACTCCCTTATAGGAGTGACTCAACGTTTATTGCTTTACAGAACTTAGTCTCTCATAACTCCCTTATAGGAGTAGCTCAACGTTTATTGCTTTACAGAACTAAGTCTCTCATAACTCCCTTATAGGAGTAGCTCAACGTTTATTGCTTTAAAAGAACTAAGTCTCTCATAACTCCCTTATAGGAGTGGCTCAACGTTTATTGCTTTACAGAACTTAGTCTCTCATAACTCCCTTATAGGAGTAGCTCAACGTTTATTGCTTTACAGAACTAAGTCTCTCATAACTCCCTTATAGGAGTGACTCAACGTTTATTGCTTTACAGAACTTAGTCTCTCATAACTCCCTTATAGGAGTGGCTCAACGTTTATTGCTTTACAGAACTTTAGTCTCTCATAACTCCCTTATAGGAGTGGCTCAACGTTTATTGCTTTACAGAACTAAGTCTCTCATAACTCCCTTATAGGAGTGGCTCAACGTTTATTGCTTTACAGAACTTAGTCTCTCATAACTCCCTTATAGGAGTGGCTCAACGTTTATTGCTTTACAGAACTAAGTCTCTCATAACTCCCTTATAGGAGTGGCTCAACGTTTATTGCTTTACAGAACTTAGTCTCTCATAACTCCCTTATAGGAGTAGCTCAACGTTTATTGCTTTACAGAACTAAGTCTCTCTCCTTTATAACTCCCTTATAGGAGTGGCTCAACGTTTATTGCTTTACAGAACTTAGTCTCTCATAACTCCCTTATAGGAGTGGCTCAACGTTTATTGCTTTACAGAACTAAGTCTCTCATAACTCCCTTTATAGGAGTGACTCAACGTTTATTGCTTTACAGAACTTAGTCTCTCATAACTCTTTACCTTATAGGAGTGGCTCAACGTTTATTGCTTTACAGAACTTAGTCTCTCATAACTCCCTTTATAGGAGTGGCTCAACGTTTATTGCTTTACAGAACTAAGTCTCTCATAACTCCCTTATAGGAGTAGCTCAACGTTTATTGCTTTACAGAACTTAGTCTCTCATAACTCCCTAACTCCTATAGGAGTGGCTCAACGTTTATTGCTTTACAGAACTAAGTCTCTCATAACTCCCTTATAGGAGTGGCTCAACGTTTATTGCTTTACAGAACTCCCTTATAGTCTCAACGTTTATTGCTTTTACAGGTTAACTCTCCTTCCCTTATAGGAGTAGCTCAACGTTTATTGCTTTACAGAACTAAGTCTCTCCCTTTATAACTCCCTTATAGGAGTGACTCAACGTTTATTGCTTTACAGAACTCAAGTCTCTCTCTCTTAACTCCCTTTATAGGAGTCAACGTTTATTGCTCAACGTTTATTGCTTTACAGAACTAAGTCTCTCATAACTCCCTTATAGGAGTGGCTCAACGTTTATTGCTTTACAGAACTAAGTCTCTCATAACTCCCTTATAGGAGTGACTCAACGTTTATTGCTTTACAGAACTTAGTCTCTCATAACTCCCTTATAGGAGTGGCTCAACGTTTATTGCTTTACAGAACTTAGTCTCTCATAACTCCCTTATAGGAGTGGCTCAACGTTTATTGCTTTACAGAACTTTAGTCTCTCATAACAGAACTTTTATTGTCTCTCTCATAACTCCCTTATAGGAGTAGCTCAACGTTTATTGCTTTACAGAACTAAGTCTCTCATAACTCCCTTATAGGAGTCAACGTTTATTGCTCAGAACTAAGTTTCATTGCCTTTATAGAACTCAACGTAGTCAGAACTCTCATAACTCCCTTATAGGAGTAGCTCAACGTTTATTGCTTTACAGAACTTAGTCTCTCATAACTCCCTTATAAGGAGTGACTCAACGTTTATTGCTTTACAGAACTTAGTCTCTCATAACTCCCTTTATAGGAGGAGTGACTCAACTCAACGTTTATTGCTTTTATTGCAGAACTTAGTCTCTCATAACTCCCTTTATAGGAGTGGCTCAACGTTTTATTGCTTTACAGAACTAAGTCTCTCATAACTCCCTTTATAGGAGTAGCTCAACGTTTATTGCTTTACAGAACTTAGTCTCTCATAACTCCCTTATAGGAGTGGCTCAACGTTTATTGCTTTACAGAACTAAGTCTCTCATAACTCCCTTATAGGAGTGACTCAACGTTTATTGCTTTACAGAACTAAGAACTCCCTTATAGTCTCTCATAACTCCCTTTTATAGGAGTAGCTCAACGTTTATTGCTTTACAGAACTAAGTCTCTCATAACTCCCTTATAGGAGTGACTCAACGTTTATTGCTTTACAGAACTTAGTCTCTCATAACTCCCTTATAGGAGTAGCTCAACGTTTATTGCTTTACAGAACTTAGTCTCTCATAACTCCCTTATAGGAGTGGCTCAACGTTTATTGCTTTACAGAACTTAGTCTCTCATAACTCCCTTATAGGAGTGGCTCAACGTTTATTGCTTTACAGAACTAAGTCTCTCTTTGTAGATAACTCCCTTATAGGAGTGACTCAACGTTTATTGCTTTACAGAACTTAGTCTCTCATAACTCCCTTATAGGAGTAGCTCAACGTTTATTGCTTTACAGAACTAAGTCTCTCATAACTCCCTTATAGGAGTAGCTCAACGTTTATTGCTTTACAGAACTTTAGTCTCTCATAACTCCCTTATAGGAGTGACTCAACGTTTATTGCTTTACAGAACTAAGTCTCTCATAACTCCCTTATAGGAGTGACTCAACGTTTATTGCTTTACAGAACTTAGTCTCTCATAACTCCCTTATAGGAGTAGCTCAACGTTTATTGCTTTACAGAACTAAGTCTCTCATAACTCCCTTATAGGAGTGACTCAACGTTTATTGCTTTACAGAACTTAGTCTCTCATAACTCCCTTATAGGAGTAGCTCAACGTTTATTGCTTTACAGGTAAAAAACATACATTACCCAGCGGGCACACAACGTTGAATCAACGTTGAATCAACGTTGAATTTTGGTTGTTTGGTTGATCAACCTTTCATAGACGTTGATTCAACGTTTATCATGCGACCAAAGAAAGTTAGTCGAGATTCGTTTAGTTGTCAACGTTGTTTCAACGTAAGGAACCAACAAAATGTCAACTAATTGTTTCCTTGGCAAATTTGACACATAATTCATATTGGTAATAGGTATCCAACTTAGCAACTATCCTTTCGGAACATTATTTTCATAAAAAAAGATCAAGATCGAGCTAGTGACAGATATAATCTTATATATTATTTGATTCTGCATCGATCAACGGACGGAAATATTACGTAAATCGCAGTTTTAGGTATAAAGTCATCAGTTATCCAAATTGCATTACATTTGATATTTTCCCACAAAACTGTGAAAATTGTATAATTCCGACAATTTGCTTTCAAACACACAAGCCAGATGTTGACCTTTCGATCGCCTCGTTTGGCCATATCCGGACATGCGCACAATTATCGCGCGCGCAAAGGCAGCTGATCGTTGTCAGTTCACTTTGGCGAAGTTCAACGCAATATCGTTCTATTTTCACCATCTTCACGGCAAGCTGGTGTTTATTTGGTAAGTATGTCCTTCATGTATAATGAAAACGTAGGAATGCCGTTTTAAATCTAGCAGCAGTAGCAAGAAACTCCGAATTAGGGGCTCATGTTTTATCTCACAAGGTTACCGGTATGTCACAGTACATGTTTCTCAAAATTTTGTTTTGTTATTTTTCAATATATTTGCATGCATATATTTGGCATTTTATTATATAATCGAATAAGATTTCCTTTCGTACCCATCACCTGATTTGAATTTTGCAAACATACATTTTCAAATAATCAATGAAGTACATCAATATAAGGAACCGTTCATAATTAAATATATGGCTGTGGGTGGGGTGTTGATTGTGAGGGTGGGGTGGGGGTGTCACCCATTTTGTTCAGGGGAGCTAAGGGGTCAGCATTTTGTACACACGCACTATGTTTAGAAATTATGGGAAGGGGAGAGGGCGTCATAGATAATGTACATGACATGCAGGGTGGGCCGTCTCTTATTCTGTACATACTCATACACTTTTGGGGTGTGGGGTGGGGGTGGTGATGTAATTCACATGTACGTAAAATCAACATCACCCCCAAAGCCATACATTATGAACGGTCCCTAAGGGCAGCTATACAAAATCGGATAGGATTAATCAACATTTTATATTGCATCCCATTATTATGAACATTTGTTCGTTTGAATAGATCTATCAGTAACTGATGCATTGAGCACGCCCTGAACCCTATCAACATATGTATATATTGGGGGAGGAGGTGGAGAATGGCGTAAGGAAAATGCAACGAAAATTTTTCACTTTTAAAATGTCTTGTGAAAGTTTGAACTTTTATTTTATTTACAAAAAGTGTAACTTCACTAATGATTCTTTGATGGGACAATTAACAAAACTGCACCCACAGACTTTCATTCTTACACTTGTTTGGAAGGGATATGATAATTCATGTCTCTTAAAGGTTAAAATCTTACATACAAAAAGAAGTAATTTTAATGTAAGGAACATTTAATTATGAAATAAGATTATTTTAATAGAATTTGCAGAAATCTCATCTCCGAAGACTGGGTGGCAGCAATTTTGTGGATCACATAAAAGGAGCAAGGCTAAGGTAACACGTTTTAACATTTCACTTGTTTCCAGTATATCCACCACAAAGTTTAAGAGAAAGATGATAATGCTCTTTCATTACCACCTGTTTTGAATATTTGTGATAATGTTTGGTCTTTTTGGTGATAATAGTTGGTCTTTATTTTCATTTATATATTAAGTAAGGTTGATCATTTAAGAGAAAAATTGACAAATGATTTCTCCCGGAGATGTTTAGTTTAATGAGCACTCCTTGCTTGGCGCCATATTGTTTTCGCCGTAAACGGCTGGATGCAAGATAGCACGCGAGAGGACAGAAGTCATACATTTATAGATATTAGAGATGTTTATTGCTGGGAAACACACTGTTCAGGTATTTAGTCAGCTGTAGAATTTGAATATGATGTTTTATTATTGTCAAAGGGTAGGTTTTTCATTATTTGCAATCTAATATGTGTGCAGTGAAACATACTGAGATTTGGAAGAGTGCATTATTTAAAAGTACAGGTGTTGTTAGATATCAGCATTTTATGTACATTTTCCCTTGTTAAGATCATCTATCGAGTATATTAGAGAGAAGGTGTATATTTGTAGTGTTTTTAAATCAGAGTTATTTTCAGTGTATGACCTACATTTCAATATGTTTTGGCCACCTGTCACCCCTTTTGGTCAAATAGAGTAGGACTTCCATTTCTTGAATTGAGAGTCAGCGATGCACTGTTTCCAAGAATTTGCGTTAGCCAGCGATGTTTGTTTACGAGTACATTTAAGTCTTTTGAGTGTAGATTGGAGTTGTAAGAGATGTTATCTCAATGTCTTATTATTCATGGTATGATAGATTATTTCTGGCAATGTAGAGTTTAATCTCATTATTGTATTGTTCATGATTCAGAGAAGCATAGTTATGACGTCGCAGATAATACGCACACTTAATTCATTATATGAGAGATTTTCTAAGCGTTCCTATAAGAGAGATTAAATGTAAACATTTATGAATTATAAAAAAAGTTGTTTATCTGAGTTTTTATGGAGTGTACAAATGACAAAGAGAGAGAGTAGATAATAGAGAATATATTGTATACTTATGAGAGCTCATTATTGTTTTCTGTGAACTCCATGATCCATACTTCCTTGTGTTTGGGAACAAATGGTGTTGGGAGACCTCCCACAATAGACTTGTTCTTTGACCTGTGAACCACCACCCATTTTGTTTCTTTTATCATTTAATGTAAAATGGCTTTTGTTACAATTTATTACTCCTGGTAGCAAAATTGCTACATCAGTTCAACTCCTATTAATTTGAAATAATCATTTCCGAGAATCTCTAAAGAAAACTAAATCTGACAGAATAACAACAATCTTCCATTATTTTGCAGGACGATGTCAAACAATTTGATGTCAAGAATGAATGTTGATGGGCAAAACGGCAAGTTTTCTTTTAAGAGTACAAGATTGTATTCAATCATCTCTGGTAAGTTAATTACCAAGTGCAGCATTTTCATCATGACCATAGCAAATAATATATGACAGTAAAGCATCGTCTAATTCATCCTACCAGTAATTCATAGTCTAATTAAATAATCAACTTGCAATTGAGGATTTTCTTTGAAAATGTTTAAGAAAAACTTCCATTCCTTCGGTTGAAAATATAAATTGTTTACACTTTTCGTCATATTTTTTGTATTGATGCTGTTCATATGTTCACATGCCAAGTTACAGCAGTGAAATGAACCTTTCAAGTGATTGATTAAACAAATACTTGAATCATTTAAGACAATATATCTTCCATATAACTTATTCATGTATTTAAATATAAAATTTCAGAATGTGTCCTATCTCAAGGGAATGAGATGGGAATGCATCCGAAGCAAATTTCAAGAAAGAGTTAGGAACGTTTCTGAAGTATCCAATCTGACTGCCAGGCAGGAGTGGCAGAAAGAAGAGGAGCTGATAATTGTGTTTTTGGAGTTGTAATTGTGTTGAAAAATCTGAACTGTGGTATTGAAATTGGTGGCGTAAATGTCACTTTGATGCTATATGCAGATGATATTGTGTTATTAGCACAAACAGAGATCACCTACAGACTATGTCATGTGTGATGTTTTACATTATGCATTAAACCACGTTTTCTGTGTGCGTGTGTTCATAAAGATTTCATGAAAAGTGACTTGTTTTATGTGCTGTCTTCAGGTATAGTTCCTGGTCATCTTGGATCCCTTTCATGGTGAAAGTAATTGCATTGTGTTTATTCAGGGTCTGTCTAAGAGCTGAAATTCAGACAAAATGTCTTCTCGACAATTTTCACCTTTTCAAGGTAACAATACAACAGTAAATAGTTTTTCTTAATTTGGAATACTCTTTTTCTTCTTACTGGAATTATACGTCCAACTGACATAAAACTTAAATGAACATTATATTGAATGTGGAATTTTAACCAAGTATTTTATCAGGTAAATATTTTTACTGCAATTTTTCAGTTTGAACACTGTTTATTGCAGGGTAGCTTTTTTGGGCATTTTTAGCTGGATGCAGGAGTTTGGTGCTACTTTATTGTAGTTTAAAGATGAAATGCGAGTATTTACAGGAAAGCGTAATACCTCCCAGACACAACCACGGAACAACCCATTTTCAACGTTAATAATATGTCAGACTTCAACATTGATTCCACGTCGGATATCTACGTCCAAAAAAACTTTCATATACAACCTATTTTCAATCTATTTTCAACGTTGAGGATCAACCTATTCTCAACGCTGATAATCGGTCAAACTTCAACGTTGATTCCACGTCGGATATCTACGTCAAAAACTTTCATATACAACCTATTTTCAATCTATTTTCAACGTTGAGGATCAACCTTTTTCAACGTTGATAATCGGTCAAACTTCAACGTTGATTCCATCGTCGGATATCTACGTCAAAAAACTTCATATACAACCTTATTTTCAATCTATTTTCAACGTTGAGGATCAACCTATTCTCAACGTTGAAACAACGTTGATGTGCCTGCTGGGTAGTCTCTCATAACTCCCTTTATAGGAGTGACTCAACGTTTATTGCTTTACAGAGCTAAGTCTCTCATAACTCCCTTTTATAGGAGTGACTGCTATTGCTTTACAGAACTTAGTCTCTCATAACTCCTTTTATAGGAGTAGCTCAACGTTTATTGCTTTACAGAACTTAGTCTCTCATAACTCCCTTATAGGAGTAGCTCAACGTTTATTGCTTTACAGAACTTAGTCTCTCATAACTTTATAGGAGTGACTCAACGTTTATTGCTTTACAGAACTAAGTCTCCCTCATAACTCCCTTTTATAGGAGTGGCTCAACGTTTATTGCTTTACAGAACTTAGTCTCTCTCATAACTCCTTATAGGAGTGGCTCAACGTTTATTGCTTTACAGGAACTAAGTCTCTCATAACTCCCTTTATAGGAGTGACTCAACGTTTATTGCTTTACAGAACTTAGTCTCCCTCATAACTCCCTTATAGGAGTAGCTCAACGTTTCTATTGCTTTACAGAACTTAGTCTCTCATAACTCCCTTATAGGAGTGGCTCAACGTTTATTGCTTTACAGAACTTAAGTCTCTCATAACTCCCTTATAGGAGTGACTCAACGTTTATTGCTTTACAGAACTAAGTCTCTCATAACTCCCTTATAGGAGTGACTCAACGTTTATTGCTTTACAGAACTTAGTCTCTCATAACTCCCTTATAGGAGTGGCTCAACGTTTATTGCTTTACAGAACTAAGTCTCTCATAACTCCCTTTATAGGGAGGTGACTCAACGTTTATTGCTTTACAGAACTTAGTCTCTCATAACTCCCTTATAGGAGTAGACTCAACGTTTATTGCTTTACAGAACTAAGTCTCTCATAACTCCTTATAGGAGTGGCTCAACGTTTATTGCTTTACAGAACTTAAGTCTCTCATAACTCCCTTATAGGAGTGGACTCAGCGTTTATTGCTTTACAGAACTAAGTCTCTCTCATAACTCCCTTATAGGAGTGACTCAACGTTTATTGCTTTACAGAACTTAGTCTCTCATAACTCCCTTATAGGAGTAGCTCAACGTTTATTGCTTTACAGAACTAAGTCTCTCATAACTCTCTTATAGGAGTGACTCAACGTTTATTGCTTTACAGAACTTAGTCTCTCATAACTCCCTTATAGGAGTAGCTCAACGTTTATTGCTTTACAGAACTTAGTCTCTCATAACTCCCTTATAGGAGTGGCTCAACGTTTATTGCTTTACAGAACTAAGTCTCTCATAACTCCCTTATAGGAGTGACTCAACGTTTATTGCTTTACAGAACTTAGTCTCATAACTCCCTTTATAGGAGTAGCTCAACGTTTATTGCTTTACAGAACTTAGTCTCTCATAACTCCCTTATAGGAGTAGCTCAACGTTTATTGCTTTACAGAACTAAGTCTCTCATAACTCCCTTATAGGAGTGACTCAACGTTTATTGCTTTACAGAACTAAGTCTCTCATAACTCCCTTATAGGAGTGACTCAACGTTTATTGCTTTACAGAAC